TGTATATATATATATATATATATATATATATATATATATATATATATAGGCTAATTGTGCAGCTCCCCCTGTCAATGATCTAGCACCCCCTCAGCACCTGCGTTAAAAATGATCTGGCGCCGCCCCTGATAGTAAACCGAAGATAATGTCAAATGACCCACATAATATAATAACAGAACATAAACCTGACAATAAGCTTTTTAGGCCATTGTTATATAACAGTTAGTTTCGACCCTCGAATCTCTCTTTACTAAAGGCTTTCTGCTTATATTTTACCATTTACTCGGCACTCGCTCAGTCCAGTTACATTGTTACGCCACTAGGTGGCGACAAGGGACTGTCTTTGAGTGAGTCATTAAACTGTTCATTCAACGGAAATGTAAAAAAAATGCGGATTCATTCAAATATAGATGTAATGAAACAAGCTGTTAATTATTTTAATATTTAATTTTAACTTTGAGCTCCACTTTACAAGGCTCAGCTGAGCAGCAATGCGGCGCATGGGCAACGCGAAGCTGATGCTTCACTTCATAGAGATTAATGGCATTGATTCATTGTATTGACCAGAGCTGACGCCATTCATTAGAAATAGCCTAGAAAAAGGATGATTTTTTATTATTTTTTTAATTCTCTTTCCTTGGTCACGGCAACCTTTTCACGAATATGACTTGATATGAAGGACAGATATTTTGTTTACATCCACTTTTCTGCTTCCGATCTGCTGCGTGAGATCACGTGAGCGCGTCCTCTGGCACGATAATCTTAATAACATTGTGTAGTGTGTGATGCGCCGCGATTTTCAAATCTTGTAGTGTGAGCATGTTTAAGATTTGAGGAAAGAAAATCTGCAAAGATTCTCCTTAAGTGTGAGCTGCAACCAGATTTCACAATCGGTTAAGCCTGGTTCACACGGCAGGATAATTAGGCCGATTTTAGCCCCGATTTACCCCTTCCGACAATCTTAAGGATGCTCCGATTATCGTAAATAATCTGATCAGATATTCCTGCCGTGTGTGGTGTGTTAAGACTGCTCTCGTCTGCTCGGAAGGACGTCGGGACCGCTCCGATCTCAAATCGGGGATATCCAACATGTTGGATTTTTTTGGCCCGATTTCTCCTCGTGTGTGGTGTCTCCCGGGGACAAACGAGCACGCAGCCTGTGGACTGTGGCGTGTAGCCAATCAGAAAGCGAGGTGACGAGGCGCAGAGGAAGCACCGGGAAACAAAATCAAAATAGTCCATGCTCGCGTTGTCTCCACTTCTTTGACCATCGCCTTTTCTTTTGGTAACGTTTTTTTTTCGGTTAAAAACAAACTACACTGGTTGTTTACTCTGAAGTCACGTTTGATCTCGAGGGATTTTGCGAGATTTTCCGTCTGACCTGGGAATGCTCGGGAGTCAAATCGGTTCGTGCGTGATGTGTTGATTTTGCCGTGTGGCTGCGCACCACACACTGTACGACCAAAACTGTTAGACCCGTGATTTTTTATCGCCGTGTGTGGGGTCTCTCAGGTTTGGAAAATCGGCCGACAATTTTAAAATCGTTCCGTGTGAACCAGGCTTTAGGATTTTAAAACTCCTGTAGTGTGAGCCAGGCATAAGTTACCAAGGAGCTCTGTTGACATTGGCTTTGCTAACGTTAGTTACAGCTTGATGAATTGAGTTGAACACAGCAGGAGGGAACGCAACATTAGCCAGCTAGCTAAAGCTCTGGTGGGAAATTATTAGCTAACGCTACGGAGGCCATAATATTTTTGACTCATGGCTGAAGTTGAGTTTCTCCAACTCTCCCCAGGTTGGCAAAAAAAAGCACCTCAAAATGCATCAGATTGATGCTTTAAAATATGGAATATTTAAAATTTTCTTACGGGGGGCATGCCCCCGGACCCCCCTAGAGGGGTAACCTTCTCACCTTTTTCACCCCTGACCCGTTTTCATGCCTGTAGAGGTAAGAAACCTGATAGATTTATTATTATTTTTGGGCAAACGTGAATTGACGCTGTCAATTAATTGATGTACATTTTTAATTGACATATTTCAATATAGGGGGCCTTTTGAGGTATAGTGCCCAGGGGCACCACACTGTCTTAATACGGCCCTGCCCATAACCAGTGGTATATATGCAATATTCCAGTGTAATTTTACAGAAAACCCTTTGAAATTATATAAAACACTGCTGAGTGTGATAAATGTTATAGTATGTTGTCTGTGCTATAGTAAACAAAAAGAAACAAATAGGCGCTGTATGATTTTGATCATTTTATTATTTCAGAAGATACAAGACTTATCATTTTACAAATTATTTGCCTAAAATCTGTGGTCTATTACAATCTAGAACAGGATCCTCATCCTCCAGATTTATATCATTCATTATACGGGCATCAGTTTTGTCACCTGTGTTGTGCATCACCTCAACATCACCGGCCAGCCTCCTGGAGATCTGATGCCAACTGTGCCAACTGTGCCACATCTTCAATCTTCAATAGAACCTGAAACAAAGAAATCACTGTTTATACATAGTTTCTGCACTGTAATAATATCCATTTAACAATATCAAAATGTAGATTTACTGAAATGACCATTTTATTCAACTTTATTCAACTTCAACAAGTTGGAAACTATTGCGCAATCATACTTTCCATATCCAAAACATTTGACATTTATTTTCAAATAATAGTTTATCAGATTGGTTGCTGTGCTTTCACATTTCAAACTAACAATAACTTTATGTTAGTAAAAATGTATATAAACATTGTAAATGCTGAAAACCCATAGGGTTATACGTAACTTACCCAAACGCAGTCTTGAGAATGCGCACTCAAAACTTCTCCAAATCGTCCATTTAGAAACCAGTTGCACTTCCAAAGATCGCTTTTATCAATGCCATTGATGCTTTTATCTTTCCAGATGCAATTATAGAAATCAAAACAGTTCATAAACTATAATAACACACGCGAACTCGCGGATATTTCACTTTCAGTCAACAGTCAGAGTGGTCACCCGGAAGTGATCAAGGGAGCACATCCGCATCGGTCAGAATCCCATCTTGTGAAAGGTCCGTCTGATATGTGACGCGAGCTTAGTTCCTGTTAGATATATATACTAAATGCATTGCCTTTACCAGTAGCACAAGTAAGGCTAGCGCCTGTATATAGATGGCTTGGAGATTCGGTGTCTTGCGCGTCTTACGCGCTCAGAGCGCGTCTAATTTCAGTTCATTCGAAAAGGTTTTTCTTACCAACGAAACCTCACAGAAACGTGAAAATGGTCTCATATGAAAGATAACATCCTAAACTAAAAGGTAGATTATAGGTAACCTGACTCCGCCAGATGGATTTGCTCCGCATATCCATCTGGAAACCTTCCGTTGAAGTAGTTTTGGTAAGGAGCGAAAATACTGGTTAGCTGATTGGCCTATGTTGGTGATAGACGGGCCAAATCAACCAATCAGATCAACGAAGCATATGACGTACTAACAGAGCGTATCTTTTCCTCTGAGAAAAGCCTCCAGAGCAGTGTTTTGCTCTTCTTTCAGTGAAGAAATACTCTGTAATTCCGATAAAACTTGCTCGATAGCCACGCTGATGCTAGTTTCATCCGCTGAAGCCGACATGTTCTTTAGACTGAACTGACGCGCTTCTCGTTGCGTCACACCTCAACCCGCCTCAAAGCCAACGCTGATTGGACGTTCGTTTGGTGAACTGCTCCCAAATTTTCTTTAACGGAAAGTATCCAGACTGATCTGCGAGTGAAACCTTGAAAGCTCGCGAGATCAGGATGGTCTCACGAGGCTAGATTATAGGTAGATGATATAGATTATGTGGCTGTTTGCGGCTCACTGAAGCCGACATCGGAGCAGGAATGTGATACTTTTATCTGTCATCTCTGTTTGATTTTATTTCACTGCGCGCTTATTTCGATCTATGAGTGTCTCACAATGTAATAACCTACATTGACAAATTCCTTAGAATGAGAGCTTTATTGTTATATATGACTTGACTGTTTTGTGAAATATATAAAAAAATAAATATTTGTAGAAAGATTTCTTCGCAATCATAAAGCGGAAATATTTGCCTGGGACCAATGCATATTTAAGCTAATATTTCATTTGATATGTATCATAAAAACGAAAGTGATGGTATTCTTTGTAAAGTATAGATTCTAAGCTTTCAAATGTTACCATGAATTGGGTGATACCTTATAGGGAAGCCTATAAAAAGAACGTACGAACATCATAACAATTTTTTTTTTTTTCGGTACCGGGATCGTGGATTTTATGTGGTTAAGTGTAAGACGGACACTGTAAGTTGATGAGTTGATTTACCCGCATTTTAATATGCTCTCGTTCATAGAGATTTTTAGATGGATTGCCTACTGAGGCTTTTTCTCTGACCCAGTTTGTTTGCTGGTTGCAAAACGCTATGTTTCCTACCAACTCGCGTCCCGGGGTGTCGAAATACTATTGGGTGAACTGGCAGTGGGCGAGATCACATAGACCAAAACAAAAACAGACATTCCAACACGGAACACACATTTCAAATGGCAGTAGCATTGTTTTTCAGAGAAACGAGTATGTGAACTCATCATGTTTCCTAAATATCTGCAAACATATGTCTAGTATTTTTATGATTTAGTAGAGTGAAAAAGTTACATACAGCACCTTTAAAATTAATAGTGCTTTTAGTGCTACTCCTATGGACATTTCATCTGGAGGGTTAGGGTTAGGCTTGCTCTTTTACCAGTTGACCAGAAGTGAAGTATTGTTAGTATTGTATTGACAACTGGAGGTTATCTGAATTGTCACGAGTGGAAAAGTCAGATTAGTTTTCGTAAAGTGTATTATGAATTTCCATGACAAGGGTAAAATAACACAAGTTCAAATGTCCTGTGGACATTTAATCTGGAAACTGCTATACAAAGCAAAATTGCACATATTTTCCAAAAATGTATGCATAGTTACATTTTCCCATTATAATATTGTAAAATAGCAGTAGGCCTACTTGGAAGAAAATTCTGACGTGTTGCCTCACTGCCTCCTCTTTGAGCCGTGGATGGATAGATTTCCCCATCAAATCATAAATAGACTTCAAAATATCCAACATTTCCTGAAACAAAAAGATCAAATACAAAGTGTTTGCATTCAGTACATCACAGACCAAACCTCACAAGGTGTTTAGTCCTTGACATTAGAGTGTTCAGACCTCTTTAGTAATCTGTCCATCTTTGTTGATGTCATATAGATTGAAAGCCCAATTCAGCTTCTCTTCAGTAGTGCCTCTCAACAAAACAGAGAGATCACAGACTAACTCCTTTAAAAGCAAAACAACAAAAAAAGCAGAAATGTCAAAGCCTCCTTTCATGCTTCCATTTAAACACTTTTTTTTTTGGCAGTCTTAAAGAATGGATATAATAAAGTGTCTGTACATTCTTTCTAATCTTTTATCCAGTGTTAAAGATTTAAACATTTGAAAACATTATCTATTGCAAAAATCTGAATCAAATTAATATCAAATATAAGGGATAATCAATAGTGATTGACTGTATTCAAACTATTAAAGCCATTCAAAACATTGACTTTTTCATATGCATATTTTTTCCACATAAATGTTTGTCCTGATCTACAAAAACAATTCAGTTAAAAATCCTTACCTCAAAACTAAGAGAGCCATTCTTATCTTTATCAAATGCATTGAAGAGAAACTGAGCGTACTTTGATGAATCTAAGAAAATAATAAATATAATTATATTACTGCAGGAAAAAATGTGATGCTTTAGATTTTTAGGTTCTAAACATTTTTCAAAGAAATAGTATTATAATGGCATGGCAGCCAGTTTTACTTTTATTATATATTTATTTGAATTGGTTTGGCCTGTCCCATAGCTTAATAAAATCAGGATTTGAACTGAATCTGCTCATAAAATGGCACACTTCATATTTTTTTCCCAAGGGGATACAAAGTTATACTGGTTTCATCATATTATATATTGTAATTTTAAGAGTTGTAACTTTCTGTTAAAATTGTGTGAAAAATCTCACATCAGACCACAAGGAGGAGACACTGACTGCAGTGTGCAGAAAAAGATCTCGGTCTTCCAACCGTCACAAATCACAATACAAAGTATTTTCATGTGATTTGCACATATTTTTAAATACAGTAATTTACTAATAGCCTTTAATGCCTGCACAATAGATCTTTAACATGTGATCACTTGATTTCATAGAGAATTTGCATTTTAGTTTCCTATTAAGAAATATATCAAAGGTGGCATTTTATATATATATATATATATACACACATTTTCTTTGGCTAAACATATTTAATAATATAAACTTTAAGTGGACCAACCTCCCAGTGGGAAGAACACAGCATAGATGTTTTTAAATGTGTCCTCATTCACAACTCCACTTGGACATTCCTAGCAAAAACAGGATCAGACAAGAAAGCAATATTTAAGGGACTGGGATTTCTCCAAAGAGAGCAGAAGCCTAAAAATGACATCATTTTTCATTTCTACACCCAGCAGGTGGGGTTATACTGAACTCTCACATTCTTGAATCCTCTATAGAGTAACTGCAGCTCTTGTCTGGAGAAGTGGGTCTGCGACTGCAGTTGCTCCAGATTTTCAGGGTGATACCGCACCGTTGTGCTCTCTTGTTCTTCGTCCTCATTATCTACAACATAGCACATACAGCTGCCATTATTATTTTTCTATGGGCAATACAGCTTATGTATCAAAGAAAGAATAAGCAAAATAATGTATCAAAGAAACATAATTTTATTTACTGTGATATGCATGTGTTCAGACACACCCTTGTTCATAATCTGTCCAAAGACACCTAGAGCTTTATCTTTAATTAAGAATCCTGGCACTAGCAGGTCCAGTTACACTAATTACACAAACAATTGCCTTTTTGATGAATAATGAAAAGAGAGTGACATATTGATGGCTTTTTCAAGCCCAGGTTTCCTTTTACACATTGCCTTTGATTTAAAGGGATACTCCACTTTTTTTGGAAATAGGCTCATTTTACAACTCCCCCAGAGTTAAACTGTTGAGTTTTACCGTTTTTGAATCCATTCAGCCGATCTCCGGTTCTGGCGGTACCACTTTTAGCATAGCTTAGCATACGTCATTGGAGTGGACAAGACCATTAGCATTTCTCAAAAAAAAATGACCAAAGAGTTTCGATATTTTTCCTATTTAAAACTTGACTCTTCTGTAGTTACATCGTGCACTAAGACCGACGGAAAATGTAAAGTTGCGATTTTGTGTTGAAGGAAGGTGGCCTATTTTCAGGCGCTGCGTCATATCATTACGCCTGCTGCACTCATGGTACGGCAGTAAAGTTTCTTGATTATTACGCAGGAATGAGAGTATAGTTCCAAGCCATATCAGCCTAGAAAATCGCAACTTTACATTTTCCGTCGGTCTTAGTGCACGATGTAACTACAGAAGAGTCAAGTTTTAAATAGGAAAAATATCGAAACTCTTTGGTCATTTTTTTTTTAGAAATGCTAATGGTCTTGTCCACTCCAATGATGTATGCTGAGCTATGCTAAAAGTGGTACCGCCAGAACCGAAGATCGGCTGAATGGATTCACAAACAGTAAAACTGAACAGTTTAACTCTGGGGGAGTTGTAAAATGAGCCTATTTCCAAAAAAAGTGGAGTATCCCTTTAAGAAACTACATTAGGGTCCAAACCAGATTTTGTGTCTTTACTTCAATAATGCATCATAACAAAATGTGTTTAGGGAGCATGCAAGTATTTAGTTTATTGTGCAGTATTGTATTTTTTTTTTTATTGCTTTTTGATTTAATTTTGTATAACTCTGTTTTGATATTTAAAGCTGTTCATAAAATACTTAACCATTTAGTGGCTATTATGTACAGTATGTGAGGTTCAATATTCATAGCATAAACTGCTTAACGGGTCTGCTGGCCTGTTTCCATGAATTTTATTAAATATTCACCACCGTGCCTTAGCAGGTCAGGTATCTAGTGGTGTCTCCTTTAGGACATCCATAATACCTCTGTCCCAGTTTCTCATGAAGAACGTCCTGGTGCAGGTTGATGCTTGCAGCCCTAAAGCAATGGTTTTCACAAGATATAGTCGTTGTGCTTAAAAAAGTACTACTTCTAGCCTATATCCTTGTCCAAGTAGAGAAATAGCCTATACCCTTTCTGAAGAAATACAGAAGAAGAAAAAAAAGGCAATGATAATTGCATAAAACCTTTATTAAAACATCCAGTCTTATTTGAACTATACTGCTATTTACTATTTGAAGGTCAACATGTTCTTGTTAAACAACTGTTTTTGTATGAGGGGATTAATATATTGGGGTACATTGGGACTAATAAATTGGGGTAGAAGAATGACCCACTTAAAGACTGGTCAAGATTTTACAAGCTGCTCCTAAAACATAATAAATCAAGTCACAACACCCACCACTTCACTGTTCACATTTCACTGGTGTGCTACAAATAACCAGAGCAGATTTGAGAGTCTAGTTCTGGATCTGCAATTTGTTTAAAGGGAAACTTTTATGGAGAAAACATCAATCACGTGTGTTATAGACATAATATAGATTTACCAATAGGGTCACTCCGTGACAAATCAACCAAATTTCAGAAACTTCACTGGCTCAAATTTTTGATTTTGTTAATATTTTTTCTGAAGAAAGAAAGCCAAAATATTAAATGTCATGGATGAATATTTAGTAATCCAATATTTTGTTGAGGGGGGTCAGAATGACAATTTTCACCAGAGATTTGGAGCCAAATTACAGAATAATTCACTCTATTTTAGGACTGAAAATACAGTTGTGAGGAAACCTAAAATTATCATTGGACACACAAGAAACGGAGACAAAACAGCATTATTAACAAAAAAAACAAAAAAATGCTTTGGCTCAGATGAAAGAGCAAATCGATGGTGTCTGATAGAAGAAAACATTTTCTATAAAAATAGCTTTTTTGGAACATTTATATATAAAAATTACAAATTTTTCTCCATAATCATAAGTTAACCATATTTGTTAATTTTAAGAGCTTATTTTGAATGTAATTTCATACATTTTCCACTCATTGCCATAGTGTGTCGTAAGGAGTGTGGTAATCATTCTTTCCATGCTGAGTGGCAACATGACACAGTATCACTTTCATAAATGTCTGCTTTGGCCTGTTTTTTAAGTACAAAGCGAAAAAAGATTGAAGGGTTTGTAGCTATTTTTGTCTCGTGATGCTTTTAAGGCATAAATACGGACTGAGCAGTGAATCCCCAGAGGGAAACCGATCAACTGGATTAAATTAATCAAAAACTAAATGTATATCCATCCAGAATGCATGAATTTAAAATAGGAAGGTACTTCTAAACTTCTCAAATGCAGAAAAAAATGAAGCGGAAATGTGGCGGATAAAATTACCTGAAAAAGATACTGGTGTCTCCAATACTTAAAGCTGCTGTCCGTAACTTTTTTAAGTTAAAAATTATCCAAAATAATTATATAAAAAAAAAACATATTCTGCAAGTGGTCAAAACTATCTGCTTGCCATAGCTAGATTCAAAACGGTTAGCTTGTAATAATGATTTTAATTCCAGTGGTACTGGTGGGTTTCCGCGGGAAATTCGAGCATGTCTTTGCGTCATTACGTCACACCCGTACACATAAAGAAGGAGTTTCGGCTCCTTCGGCTATACTGCGCGTGACGAGATGTTTAGATGTATAGGCTTTTCTCGCAGCACTTTAATTAAACTTATGGCATCCAGAAAGATCCAAACAACAATCATCAGTGTCAACTGGAGATTCAGCAGTTATAAAACCCAAAAGACTTCGTACTTCGGATTTAAGGTGGCTAGAGAAAGAGAAAGAAACCGTCTCATGCGAACACAATGATTTAAACATCGGCGGGGCTTTTGAAAAGTGCGTGAACTCCGTGTTTTGAAGGGGTTCAAAACGGAAGAAGAGACGGCTTTTTTCTGCTGAACAAGTAAGTTAAGACATTTCAATAGTTCAATCGTGTAACAGTACGTTTTCTTAATTCACACAGTTATGGAGTTTCCTTTGTTGTGCCTTTCTCGTTTTGCTATTATTGAGAATATGAATTCTGAACTACACAGGTAACCATAAAACACATTAAATTTAACATTAGTCACGCAATTCTGATGTTGTTAACATGAACAATTTGAGAACAAAGTAGGCTATAATTTGCACGGTTGCTGTAAATCGCGTTGATTAAATCTAACGAAGCTTATCATGTCGAATGCTTTTTCCCAATGCCGCTGCTAGCCATTTTGGTGCCCTGAGCATAATTCCTTTATGATGCCCCCCCCCCCCCCCCCAGGTTAGTTAGGGGTGTTCGGGGGAAATTTTGGATTTTTCTGAACTACAGATGTGCATTTTAAGATGTTGTAAAGGCAAAAAAAAAAAAAAAAATTCGATAACAACAGCTTTAAAACCATGTCAGTGGGCAGCTGATTATTTTTCTCTCCTCATCAGCATCACACTCTTTTTCTCTTTGTTTTTATCTTGCCCTGTCTCTTCCCCTCCTAAAGTTGGCTTTTTTAATTTACTAAAGGTTACAATTTGTATTTTATTCTCAATATGTACACATTCATTATAAATCATGTGCCTAACATGATGAAAACGGCTTTGTTCATGTTTCTTGTCCCCTCACAATGACAGTAGCCTAAACTATTACACTAGGCTACATGTTACATAGGCCTATTTTCAGTTCAAAATGGCGAAATTAGACAAAACTATATTAGTTTGCCTAATTATTTTTTGTCATTCGTTTAACATTTATGACCTAAAAAAAACTGTGAAATAAAGTTAAGTTTAGCTACTTACATCTTATCTCGCACTTGACCGTACACTGAAGCGTCGAGTTGCACTGTTAAAATTCGCGCTCAGCGTCTGTGAACATAAAGCCCGCCTACTTTGATTTGATTGGTCATCTCAAATATTCTGACATTGACGAGCAGTGACAGACCAATGAGGCTCAGATGAACACACACATGAACACACACACACACACACACCCTGTCCTGTGTTTCTGACGTGCTCTCTGTCTCTGCTCGGCGCCGCTGCGGAATGAAGAGGAAGAACGCGCTGAATCTGATTATAACAAGAAGTTTGATGATTGGTTTTTCATTAGGCTATTTTTGGTGCCCCCTCAGCACTTGGTGCCCTACGCACAGCGCGTGATGCGCGTGGTGGGAGCGGCGGCGCTGCTTTTTTCCCCTTAGTTGGTCAGAACAAAAATGGATTTTACTTACTTGTTCAGAAGACATTTTCTTATGAAAATTCTTATGTTGGTCAAACTTTCAAAAAGTGAATCTGTGATTCTGTATGACAGTATCCACACAGCGCGGTGACTGACAGCACCACTCGCCTCAAAGCACTGTGTTCATCCGCGCTGTTTCATGCCGATTTACAACCCACGTAAAGATGATAATTCCGCGAATCACTGCAGTTACAGATTTCGAACAGAGAGATGGCGACAAAGAGGAAAAGCTACGGACTGCAGCTTAAATTTATGGCATTATTAAGGGATCATCAGTGTCTTATGGTTGGCTATGGAATGATGGAGTGTGTAATTATATTTAGTCCCACAAGGATAATGAAGCATAGCCAAGGGAAAAATGAAATTAATTAGAACTCCCATCCAC